GGCGAACCTATGGTTTTGCGCGTAAAATTACTATCTTACTGCAATATCATATTGCTGTAATACTGCATTACCGTACTACTGTACTATTTCAGCTAGTACTGTTTCTAGTACCCTTATTTTTACTGTTTCCATGTCCTGCGATGGCGGCATAATTATTCTGATGGCAGACTGTGACCCAAATGCAAGGAAATGCGCGGTAGTGGCAGGCTCAGACGGCGGCATTTCAAAGGAACAGAACCGCCTCCCGCGCACGCCAACATACAAGTCCTTGTGGAAAGAAAATGATGGAAATTCGATACCCAAAAGCTGACGCATTTAAGGAATTGTGACTCACCTGCCCCCAAGTCATAGTGATCCTCCCAAAGCTACAAACATCAAGATTTTTGATGGAAAACTATGAATCGTACACGCAGCCTCCGCTACCTGATCCCTCCACAGGCAAATTATGGCCACATCGGTCCGTGTCCAGAGCACGCCCCTGGCAGTCAACCTCGCAGGTGGGCGATGCTTCTCGTTTGTAGCTCTACTACGCCCAAGTCAGTTGGGCATGAGGCATGTGGCTCGGCCATGATCTACAGTAGCTCACCGGATGACACCGGGGCCACCCAGGTGATGGCTCTGGTTGAGTTGTTGCCGGGTACATTCTGCCCCTTGTCAAGATGTTTTTGGAGGCGATATGCGGACGCACTCCTTGTGCCAACTGTTACATAGGACAATCGTAGGAGCACCTTTTTCAAACGCACCGGGCCTTGCAGCTCAAGTATGCTTCCACCTCGAAGAAGTCCTTGTCCGGCGTCCCGTGGTCGTGGACCCGGATCGTCATGTTGTTAGACTTCGGATTCAGACCTGAACGAGGCCATTGCATGTTTGTTGCCTGCAGAAATCGCTAGAGGAAAGCAAAGCGAAACAGCCTATTTCCCAGCGATATTATACTACATTGCAGAAAATTCTACTATAATGTACTAGTATATTCTAATATAATATACCCAGCAACACGCATCGTTCCGGCTAAGGCACGATACTGAAAGCCGAAATCTCGTTTCACTTTGCCACCGACCAGCACTGAAGCCACGGTCTTGTTGTCCTGCCAGGGCTTACAGATGGTAGATCCGGACCTTTACAAAGCTACGCCCAAGTAATCCCTGATTTGGTCAAGAATTGTAACTGGATGTCTGCATCAAACAGGACGGATTCAGCCATGGCGTTAATTCTAACACGAACTTAGAGGAAAAGATAATTGCTTTCACTAAATGCCGCCGCAAACGTTTGGCAGACTAAAGCGTTGCTTCCGCAAGGCATTGCTAAGTGCTTCTGCGAGGCCCTTCCGCAACTCTTTTTGCCTAGTTTTACTCAGCTCCTTCTGCGAGAGGACATTGGCATCTTTGTGCTAAAGATTGCTTTGTCTGCAGTCGGGCTTGGGGGCATTTGGCGGGGCAAGATTCGCTGTGGACACGCGGTCAAAGTTTTCGCAATGACAGTGAGGCCACGCTTGCAAAGTGTTGACATATCATAATGGGGACCTCGTGGACTTCATGGCTAGGAATGTTACAGCACGTGGCCCTTCCGCGGGGCTTCCGCGAGCTTCCAGTGCTAAAGTTTCAGAGACTTGCAGAAATTTGAAATGGAAAGCCACGTCTGCCTTGCCATAAACTTCTGCAACATCTTCTGCAAGAAAAACGTTGCCCTAACCCTGCTGCATCCTTCCGCGAGAATGGTGCCACTTACAGACTTGGCTACCAAGACCAATGTCGGTATCAGCATCTTGCCGCTGATGCCAACAAGACTGCAGCTCAATCAATCGAATTACTTTCCGGACACCACAATGTGTGTGTGCACACTCCAATAATACGAGCGAAACGCCAGCTGGTCCTGGAAAGCGAAAAAGGTGATCCCCTTCGCCTCAATTGTTGCAGGACCCTTCCAGGAACATCAAAAGCTAGGACGCCGTTCTCCAAGCCCACCTTCCCCGCCCTCCCAATCTTGAAAAAAATCCGCTCAGCCCAGCGACACCCTCCGGCCGGTCTTTGGTAATGCGCAGCGTTCCTCGGTTGCAATTTCAGGGAAATTTTTCGATTGACAGAATAGCTAGCTTTCATCGACTCATTCCAGTAGACAGTACCGCAACTTACTGGAAAATCAGATACTGTTGGCCTTGCATTGATGGGCAAGTTCGGCCTCGGACAAATCCCAGCTGGTAATCCCGGAGTCCCATACCATTCGGCCAGGAGGCCCCAGAACTTGCTGCATGAGTATCCCGCCAGGTTCATCTCAGCTGCACTGCACATGAGCCAACTACAAGCACTTGGAATATAACCTCTTTTAAAACTCAAAATTTGCAACAGAGCAATGACGACAAAGTTCAGCAATCGGGCATTTACCTCACCTTCTTGCTATTATGAGTGTTCTTCTTGGTTGATTGCCAAGCACTACCTGCAGCCGCAGGGACGTAGAGATCATTGTTCCCAGTAAGTGGCGATGGGAAAGTACCGGGGTCAAGGCGCAAGTTCCTTGGTGTTCCGAGCCGGTGATTGGCTCAGGGGACTGCGGGCAGGAATTGGAAATAAAGAACCGTGAGCAAGGAGGCAGCTCCCCAAAGGGCAACTTGACCAGCCAAGAGGCACGCCATCCTCATGGATGCTGGAACTTCCATCTGCATCGATCTGGAAGTGTCCCTTCTTTGGGTGCAGCCGGCCAGCTAAGTACAAGTCCTGGCAAGGTAGCAACTACTCTAGCTGGCACATATCGCTGCACTTCGCTGCCGGAGCAAAGGATGAGTACAGCTGTGCCTTCAGCAATTTCACAATACAACAGAATCTAGCACATGCTGCGCACAACGTAGAATTCATATGCGCCCGTCCTTGACGTTCACCACATCCTGCTGTTAAGAATGCCATGAACATGCTTTGGGACCCGGTCCCTCGCCAAGTCTGAACACTGCTGCCATGACATTATCACGCGAACTACCCGCAACAGCCGCCCGACACCACATCCTCTTCTGGGTCAAAGCCCGAGGGCACATCGTCCTAGGCAGCGCGAATTCGACGCAAGTTAGTGCTTCCTCGTGCACTGATAGATAAGGCGAGCACAGACAGAGTCCCGACTTTCCCGCTGCCAGCAATCTGCGACCAGGCAGAAAGTAAGTAGCTGCTTTACAAAAAAACATGGCCCGAATGGGGCGGGGCTGGAACCCCAGCACACGTATCTGTTGACACAACCTACTTGCAGGGTCAGCGGGACTGAGTAGGCTAATAACCCCCAGAAACCACACAATAACCCTAGTTATCCCCATGATCAACCTACTTACTAAGTCCCCCTGACCCTCCATCTACTAGATCCTTGGCCTTGAGAGTCTGGATCTCCTGCCAGACTTCCTGGGTTGTTGTTAAGGAACTGAAATTAGGTTACCATACTGTTACCATTACCTAACTCATATCATACCCCAATATACTAACTAAAATCAAGTACCTTAACTGCAACCCAGCTTCCTGCAAGGTCTGCTTGATTTGGGACACGTCGTTGTGAAGCGAAGCCTCGCCCTGACATGGTGCGCCAAAGGGTTGTGCTGCATACCAGAACATGGTAATGGAACATGGCTAAATATGCAAAAGATTATACACCAATGCCATATAATTACTAGCATATAATACAACAAAGCCTCTCCTCACAAGCAAGCTTCACTGTGACAAAGATCAATGCTGAGCAATTCCCTGAGGTTATTCCTTGAACCTTTGGAGCGACGCAGAATACTGGGCACCCGGCAGTTGTAGTAGCAGGGGCTGACAGGCCCTTGATCTTTATGACGAAGGGGTCCGGAGGAGGTGCTTCCTGCTGCCATGGCGAAAAATGTCGCGTGCAGCATACCATGGTCAAGTTGTGATCGCTTAACCGCAGACTCTATGGCCGCTAAACCCCACTTTCGGGATGTGTGATAGAGCACTCACACCAAAAGCCTGTCCTTCGGCGGCTTGCTGCTGGTCGTAAAAGCGACATGCTCAGGGTGCTCAGCTGTTTGGTTCAAGACCTGAACAAATAGTAGCGCCGCAGCGTGAGATGCATCTGCATTCAGGGATTTGCGGAAGACCCAGAGCCATCTTAGCCTCCGACATCCAGAGATGGAAACTTGATGAATGGAAAAATTGTACCTTGGAACGCCCGCCCCCATCGCTAATTGCATGCAGGCAGAGCACATCACAGTCCATCTTGCGCCAGGAAGCTGTCCTCTTCCTTGGGAGCCTGGCGGGGCGCCTAAGTTGCACATGCTGACGCAAGTCTTGCCAACAAGCCTGAGCGACTCAGTGGCTTCAGATGGCTCAAGCTACGACTGGTGGGTTGACAGCCAAACATGGCTCGAACACAAGTAGCAGCTCTCAGCTACCTGAAGACTTGAGGATTTGTTCGTTGCTAGACCAGCCGCTGCAGTGTTCTCGTACACTCGCCACGTGGTTCCTTCAGTGAACAAGGGACTGAGCAAGTACGTCCATGTTATTCTATGCCACTGGCTTCCTGCTCCAACTGTGGTACCAGTAGCTTTTTTAAGCTTTCCCGTGCGGCCATGTATCCATTCCATGAAGTGGTGACATTGCCGGAGGCCCGGGGCTCCGAGTCTGGCCGCGAGCCCATTCGCATGTAGACCCGCGATGCGTCCCCGAATTCGCAGTCGCTCATCTTAGGCAGCACGCACAGCAACTCTCGCACGCAGTGTTGGGGGAACTTTCGAAGCTAGTTTGCTGTGATGACTGTGTTGGGGATTGTTCGGGCGTTCGGGCATGCCTGGGAGAAGGCACGGGCCATGGGCTTCCGCACTGGCAGAGGCATTGCCATATGTGCTGCCACGGCACCGGAAGGTCTAATTTCATCTCTGGCGATTCTTTGGGCAGCTTGTCCCCGAACCTTATGCTGTCGGAACGGATTGGGCACCAGAAAGCCATCCAACTCAACTCGATGAGAGAGATGCGTGCCCGCAGAAACGAACTATGAACCATGTTGCAGGCTGGTGTAGGCGCCCTGCAGAAAAATGGCACACGGTATCTCGGCACTCTACTAAGGCAATCGCACTATGTAGTAGTAGCCACCCATGGGCTGCTGCTCTGCAAGGGTGACCTAAGCTGGAAGCGCATGATCTGCTGGAGATTGGATGTTTGGCGTGTTTTCTTTCGCACTACTTGCGATACTTGAAATTCTGAAAATGAACCAAGCCGGCCATTGCGGCCAAGTGGCAGCTACATATCTGGCGTTCGTCACAGCAGGTCCGTATAAACCCCGCTTGTTGCCTCAATATCATCCCCAAAATGCGGTGACAGGCGGCAAATCTCAGGCTGTGTGTTGGATGATCTCTGTCAAAACTGTTGCGGGCAGGGATCTGCTCCAGATGTCCTTCACCGTCCAAGCCTTAACAATCAGGTTGACATTGCACAAGCACCTCATGTCAAATATCCCTGCCAGAACAGACACAGATACATAGGGCGCGGCAATCTCCAAAGGCCTCACAAATGTAAGTAGCACCCCTGTTCTGAAAGACATCTCTAGTATAACCCTCAGCCCCTGATACTACAACCTAAGCCATTAACGAAGACTTCGAGGACCACCTGGATGGTAAACCCCAAACCCTGAAGCCAGATGAATTGACCTTGAGGCCAAGCCGCAGGATCACTGGGATAATTTTCAGGGTACTCGAAGCCTGGTGGTGCTCCTCCTGAACTTGAGAAAATGTTCAGGATTTTGGCTTGGACTCAAGTTCAGGACGTGCAGTGATGTCCATGGCACAACTCAGTCCCAGGTAGATTCATGATAAGCAAGCCAGACTGACGTTGGTACATCCCAAAGTTACGTACATTTAACACGAAAGCTCCTTGTAAACAACTGTCCTTTCTGCCAATCCGGTCGGGATACGTTGGGGCTGTCAAGCAGCTGACAGGGGGGGAACCTGTACTGTCCTTTTACAAAGAGCCCATATGAGATTCCTTTTGTTTTTGAGGCAGGGTAGATCGGTATATTTGTCATTTTCTTCTGCAGGCTCTGGAGTGCTGTTTGAATTCCGTGGATTCCGCATCAAACGAAAGGAAGAAGTGCATGCAAGGGGAGCATGTTGCGTGTCCTTGGACTGTGCCAGCACACGCCACTACCTGACGGCACCCAATCGTATCCGGCTATGAAGACGTCTTCGTCTGCAGCTTCTCTCATGTTACATGCACTGCTTAAAAACTCCGTACGGAGGCAAACGCTAAACCCGTGGCCCGCACTCGTGGACCTTCCGCGTCTCTCCTTGCTGGATGGCGAAGATCATTCTAGATCGTTGTTCGCACTTCATGGTTGCTATTTACCACACCTCATGCCTTCCTGACACGCTGGCTCCAGCTGAAACTGCTAATTTGAGTATGCTTCTACCTATGCGTATATATAGAGAGAGAGAACATATCAGCTGACTGTTGCAAGCACAATACTGCCGGCGTACTCCCTGCAGATATGAGTAACCATCTAGGCACATCTGAACATAGATCAAACGATCAAAACGACACGGAGACTGAGAGTTGCAACCAAATGGCGCGAGCTCCACGTTATCTTGAGCAGCAGTTCTCTCGGAGGGGCTAAGCTCGCTTTCCAACTCCAGAAGCTCTTCGAGCGCTCGGGAGTTGTCATAAGAACCTGAAGATCATCCATCACGTACCCCTTGCAATTCCCCGGTATATGGCAGTTATGTCGGATGACACGGGAATGTACAAAGCAAATGGGAATCAAGTAAACAAGAACACTGACTAGAGTTATGTAGAAGCACCAAGATTCTAACTCGCGTTCACAGTCAGGCCTGGCTCATGAAGCCCTAAAGCCTGAACCTTGAAACCTCCCAACACCCTATATAACCCTTTTAATTTAGTAGTATCCATCTTCTTTTCCATTATCCCTTATATAAACCCAATATATACCCTATAACCATTATAAAATCCCTATACAACCCCCCATAATCCCCTGTAGTTTCCATCTTCTTTTCCATTATCCCAATATAACCCTTATATATAACCCTATTATGCACCCTATTATAGTAATTTCCATTCTATTTTCCATTATCCCTATATTCTATCTATTTAAGGGGACTATACCCCTAAACTTAAATGGGCATCGAGACCTGGCATCCCGGAAAAGTCCAGAAGAAGGCTGAGACCCGATCCTGTGCTCAAGGCCCCTCGGTCTGAGACAGCCATAGCCTGGGTTGCTGTTAAGGAACTTGAATTAAGTTACCATAATAGGTTTAGGGTATAGGGTCTAGGGTTTAGGGTTTATAGGGTTACTGCTGGTGTGAACCAG